TGACAGTTGGGGCTGCTAGGATCAGGTAGGAGCTAGAGGACCAGTGGGCCTGGCTGCTGCTACATGCCAACAAGGTAATTATGTGAAGGGAGCTTGGTACCTTGTGAAACATAAGAAGTGTGGCTGTGACTTCACTCTTAAATCTCATGTAAGGTGTTCTTTGCAGTTTGCTTGGCAACCCACTCCAGTATTCCTGCCTGGAGAATTCCGTGGACAGAGAAGCCTGGGAGGCTACAGTCCATGGGGTCACAAAGACTCAGATGCAACTGAGCACACATAACAAAACTGAGAATTACGCACAGAAGGGGATTCAGGGACATGGAGTTTTGGTTATTCATCACTGTGTAACAAACTACCCCCTGAGCCATAGCTTAAAATAGTAACAATCATTTATTGAGCTCAGAAATAGGCAATTTGGGCAGGCCTCAGTGAGGACAGCTCATTTGTGCTACATATGGTGTCAGCTCGGGTGACTCCAAAGACTTGTCTGAGGCTGGCTGGGGACTGGAATCATCTGAAGGCTCCCTCACTCCCATGTCTGGCGGTTGATGCTGGCAGCTGGAACAGCTGGTGCTCTGTCTGTGTGGTCTCTCTGGCATGGCAGCTTCATGGTAGCCAGACTTCTTATTACAGTTCAGAGTTCCAAAGACACGAGATGAGAGAGGCAGACAGACAGCGACAGGCAGACAAAGCTTTTGTTCCGGTTCTGCCATTTATTAGCGGTGTCACTTTAAGCAAGTATCACTTTAAGCATTTATTCTCTCTGATCCTCAGTTCTCAAATATTAAAAATCAGAACTTATATTGGAGTTGCTGAGAAGAAGACCCTTAGGCAATAATTTGAGTGAAAGTAGTTTATTTGGAAGTTAATCCCAGGAAATATCAGAAGGGAGCTGGGAAGCTTGCAAGGATGCCAGTAAAAGGTACTTAAGCAAGTAACCCGTTTGGCAATGGAAGCTTAAAACCTCTGGGGAACCCTGGGGAACCAGTGTAGAACTTATGTCTCAGAACTAGGATATCACCTCAAACTAGCCATTGGGTGAGGACTGGGTGGAGGTGGAGGGTGGGGGGTGAGGGTGGGGAGTGGGAGGTGGTTGAGGGAGAATTAATTCCCAGCAGTTTTGCCCTGTTAAGTTCTACAGGCGAGAAAAACCTTTAGACAAAGAGATACAGGTGCTGTTGGAGGACAATTAAGCAGGTTTGCACTGAAAATAGTAATAGCTGAAGGGATATGAACAGGGCACCGACAGGGGTTGATACAAAGGGTATTAGTTGTTTTTTTAAGGTCGTTGAATAACTAAAGTGAGATAATACACAAAACGTCCTCTACTGGTGTGATGGTTCCAGTTTTTGCTTTGGGATCCTCCACATCAGGAGTCAAAGGAGGCATTCAGAGGTCTTGGAATTTTGAATACTGTCAACTTCCTAAAAGTAAGTCTCAACAAATGACATTAATGTATATGGATTACCACTTCCCTCAAAGAACTTCACAGCTGATCATGTTAAACTTTGCATTGTTGTTGTTGTTCAGTAGCTAAGTTGGTTCTGACTCTTTGTGACCCCATGGATTGCAGTAGGCCAGGCTTCCTTGTCTCTCACTTCCCCGTCCCTCTTGTGGAGTTTGCTCAAACTCATGTCCAGTGAATCGGTGATGCTATCCAACCATCTCATCCTCTGTTGCTTCCTTCTCCTGCCTTCAATCTTTCCCAGCATCAGAGTCTTTTCCAGTGAGTTGGCTCTTTGCATCAGGTGGCCAAAGTGTTGGAGCTTCAGCTTCAGCAACAGTCCTTCCAATGAATATTCAGGGTTGATTTCCTTTAGGACTGACTGGTTTGATTTCCTTGCAGTCCAAGGGAATCACAAGAGTCTTTTCCAGCACCATAATTCAAAACCATCAATTCTTCAATGCTCAGTTTTCTTTATGATCCAACTCTCACATCCATACACGACTACTGGAAAAACCATAGCTTTGACTATAATAGGGATCTTTGTTAGCAAAATGATGTCTCTGCTTTTCATGTTTTCTAGGTTTGTCATAGTTTTCCTTCCAAGGAGCAAGCATCTTTAACTTCATTGCTGCAGTCACTTCTGCAGTGATTTTGAAGCCCAAGAAGATAAAACCTGTCACTGTTTCCACTTTTCCCCTTCTGTTTGCCATGAAGTGATGAGACTGGATCCCATAATTTTCTCTTTTGAATGTTGAGTTTTAAGTCAGCTTTTTCACTGTCCTCTTTCACCCTCCTCAAGAAACTTTTTATTTCCTCTTTGCTTTCTGCTATTACAATGGTATCATCTGCATATATTAGGTTGTTGGTATTTCCCCTGGCAGTCTTGATTCCAGCTTGTGATTCATCCAGCCTGGCATTTTGCACAGAAACATAAAGTAATATGCACAGAAGGCAAATAAGCAGGGTGATAATTAACAGTCTTGATTTATTCCTTTCTCAATTTTGAAACAGTTCATTGTTTCATGTCTGGTTCTAATTGCTGCTTCTTGACCTGCATACAGATTTCTCTGAAGATAGGTAAGATGGTCTGGTATTCCCATCTCTTGAAGAATTTTCCACAGTTTGTTGTGATCCACACAAAGGCTTTAGCATAGTCAANAGCACTATACAGTCCATGGAATTCTCCAGGCCAGAATATTGGAGTGGGTAGCCTTTCCCTTCTCCAGGGGATCTTCCCAACACAGGGAATGAACCCAGGTCTCCCGCATTGCAGGCAGATTCTTTACCAGCTGAGCCACAATGAAGCCCAAGGATACTGGAGTGGGTAGCCTATCCCTTCTCCAGCAGATCTTCCCAAACCAGGAATCAAACCAGGGTCTCCTACATTACAGGCAGATTCTTTACCAATTGCCCTGTCAGGGAAGTAGATCACAGTAAACTGTGGAAAATTCTTCAAGAGATGGGAATACCAGACCACCTACCTGCCTCCTGAGAAATCTGTATGCTGTCAAGAAGCAACAGTTAAAACTGGACATGGAACAACAGACAGGGAAAGTGGTACGTCAAGGTCATATATTGTCACCCTGCTTATTTAAGTTATATGCAGAGTACATCATGCGAAGTGCTGGGCTGGATGAAGCACAAGTTGGAATCAAGGTTGCAGAGAGAAATATCAATAACCTCAGATATGCAGTTGACACCACCCTTATGGCAGAAAGTGAAGAGTAACTGAAGATCCTCTTGATGCAAGTGAAAGAGGAGAGTGAAAAAGCTGGCTTAAAACTCAACATTCAGAAAACTAAGATCATGGCATCCAGTCCCATTACTTCATGGCAATAGATAGGGAAACAATGGAAACAGTGAGAGAGCTTATTTTCTTGGGCTTCAAAAATCACTGCAGATGGTGATTGTAGCCATGAAATTAAAAGACACTTGCTCCTTGGAAGAAAAGCTATGAGAAGCCTAAACACCATATTAAAAAACAGAGACATTGCTGACAAAGGTCCATCTAGTCAAAGCTATGGTTTTTCCAGTAGTCATGTATGGATGTGAGAGTGGACTATAACAAAAGTTGAGCACTGAAGAATTGATGTTTTTGAACTGTGGTGTTGGAGAAGACTCTGAAAAATCTCTTGGACAATAAGGAGATCAAACCAGTCAATCCTAGAGGAAATCAGTTCTGAATATTCATTGGAAGGACTGATGCTGAAGCTAAAACTCCAGTACTTTGGCCACCTAATGCGAAGAGCTGACTCACTGGAAAAGACTCTGATGCTGGGAAAGATTGAGGGCAGGAAGAGAAGGGGATGACAGAGGATGAGATGGTTGGATGGCATCACTGATGCGATGGACATGAGTTTGAGCAAGCTCAGGAGTTTGGTGATGGACAGGGAAGCCTATCGTGCTGTAGTCCATGGAGTCACAAAGAGTGGTACTCGACTGAGGGACTGAACTTAACACCTCTAATAGCCTATAGGAGTTCAGACCTTCCGGCGGTTCCTCATAACTATTAACCCACATAAGACTAGCCACCTTCTTTAATCTTACTCAAACTCTGACCCCTTCCAGAAGCCCCTCTTTCCCCATATGTTCTGGAACTCATGATCTGGTAATATTTCCCAAGAATAGCTGCAAACCAACTGTATTATGGAATTGAACTCCCAAGTCTGCAGTCATTTTATACTTAACTGTGTTATCTTCGAAGATTTTTGAACAGAGGAGTGACATAATCCAATCTTTGCAAAGATTTTGGTGTGCACGATTAGAAGATGACAGGAAAGAGGGAAAAGCTGTGTGTGTGTCTAAGGTATTACAGCTACCCATTTTGAGGCATGAGAGGCGGGAGGACCCGACTTGGCATGAAGCACGGTGACAGTAAAGCAAGCCACTGAGGCGAAAGTGGCAAAGCTTCGTGTCTAGTAAACAATGGCCTGGTATCTGAAGACTTCGGTTCCAGTCTAGCAGTGTTGCTGGTGTCTTCCTCAAGTGTAGGGAAGGAATGACACTACCTCGCAGGGTCACAGAGCGGAGCGAGGGGATAAAACTGGCTGCGTGCTCTGCACTGTGTCTGCAACAGGGTAAAGCGCGCCAATCCTGTTTTCTTTTCTATTAGGAAAAAGCGGAGGGAGATTATACCATCCACATCCCAGAGATTGCCGTTAGTGGTGAGCCTAAGTACCGGGCATGCTGTCCACTCCCCTTACCCCTAAGGGGGAAAGATCCCGAAGAAACTGGCAGGGAGGGTGTGCTCCAAAGCGTCCGCTCCCAGGCCTCTCGGCAATCCATCCCCCGCCCCAAAGCTCCTCCAGCTGAGAGCTGTTGCCGGGGCCCGGGCACCGCCCAACTCCAGTGCAGGCCAATGGTAGCGCGGCCTGGGCACCGCCCAGCCGCAGTGAAGGCCTATAGCGGCGCGGCACTGGCACCGCCCTGATTCTCCGCCGGCCAATAGAGGCGTGGCCCGGTGCTGGGGACCGCCTCCAGCCGGGCGGGTAGGTGGAGAGGCGGTCACCGGCTCCGCCTCACTCCCCTCTGACCCGGTGTCTCGTCTCTCTCTCTTCCTGTTCCAAACCACGTGGACGCGCCGGGGGCTGCGGGAGGGAACCCAGGCCGCCCCTGCCGCTGTCGCTGCTACTGCCAGTACCGCAGCCCCCTCACCCATCCGAAGTCGACTCGTCCCTGCTACCCGCGTCTTTGCGGAGGGCGTGCACATGGCGACCCAGGCGCACTCCCTCAGCTACTCAGGCTGCAACTTCTTGCGCCAGCGTCTGGTCCTGTCCACTCTGAGCGGGCGCCCTGTCAAAATCCGAAAGATTCGGGCCAGAGACGACAACCCCGGCCTCCGAGGTAACTCCGGGGCGCGCAGCTCGCAGGGTGGGCGCAGGGCCCGAGGGGAGACCGCGCTCTTTCCCTGGGGGCCGGCACTCAGGGAGCCTCCGGGTTCCGTGGGCGCGTGAGGGAGGGCTCGCAGCGCGTCCCCCCCCCCCCCCCCAACCAGAACGCGCCTGAGGTTGTGGGGAGGCGGGGTCGCGCCCCGAGGACTGAGCTCTGGTGCGCGCGGCGCTCGGCGTCTCCCAGCCGCTGGTAGTAAACAGCTACACGTTTTCCAGCATTACGTGTTGCAACATATCCCAGGCATCGCCCCCTCGTTTGTCTTGAGTCCCTCTTGCTCTCGCTATAAGCCTCTCAAAAGAGAGAAACAGTTTGTTGGACCGAAATGTGGTGAATGGGCAGATGTAAAGACGGAGAGAGATGTGGAGAGAGCTAAGTACCACTGGTTGGTTTTGTCCCCTGTCCCAAAACAGGTCTCAGAAGCAGATGTCCCCTTGGTCGCCACCGGCTATCCCTGTCGCCATGATTTCTCGGCTGTCCTCACACATCTCCTTGCGTGTGGATTAAAGAATTTTTTAAAAATCTGTATTTGTTTTCAGCCATGACTGTGATTGGTTTGTGCAGGACAGAAGCTTTGAGATAAATTTGTAACAGTCATGGGCCTAATTGCCTTGACTTTTAAGTAAAGGGTTCGTGACAAGGGCTAAACTATAGGCTTCAGAGCTCTCTTTTTGCCCTACAAGGGTGAATAGGTGAAAAATAAGTCCCCATTTAAACCCATATCAGGTTAACTGTGTCCGAATTTCAACTGGTCCCCTGGAATAAGCCTCATTATATTTAAAAGCTTCTGTCTGGTTATTCCGAATTGGGAAAATCACTTCAAGAAAAAAACCTCTCTGCGTATTGAAGGAGAAGAGGGTTTGTGGTTGGTCCTGGGAGCTTTCTGGGCCCTGTTGGTGTGTTTAATTTTGCACTGGCTCCTATCGTCAGTGGCCAGCCCGTTTCATCATCTGTCTGAATGCATTTTCTGGATGTTTCTGCCTCTCTTGAAGGGTGATTGGTTGCACGTAAGGGGAAATGCCATGTCATTGATGGAGATAGAAGGTTCCTAAGGGAAGAACCAGATGAACCCCTGTACCATGGAGAGGAACCTTGTGACAGTGAGAAAGGCTTATTAGTGCCCTCACTGTCCTGAAGAAGTTGAGGGACCACTAGCATGGTTTTTGCCAGGTGCTCTTCCTCTCAACATTTCTTACCTTAATTTTGAGTCTGACCCTTGGGCGAAGCAATTGCTTGATTGCTCTACTCTGGCATTCCCTATCAACTCTCCCATTAGCTCCTTGTATTAGCCTAGAGAACTCATAGCTACCTGGATGTGGTATGAAGACAGGGTTCTAGGAACACTGGGGATAGCATTTTTAAATAGAAGTACTTTAGCTTCCCAAGTGGCCCAGTGGTAAAGAATCTGCCTGCCGATTCAGGAGACATGGGTTCAGTCCTTGGGTGGGGAAGATCCCCTGGAGGAGAAAATGGCAACCGACTCCAGTATTCTTGCCTGGAGAATCCCACGGACAGAGGAGCCAGGAGGGCTCAGAAATTCTGTAGACATGTATTAATTTCTGAAGAGAGAACTAAGATATACGTATATACATTCATTCATAGACATATATATATGTCATACATACATATGTAAGTGTATTTACATACACACGTATAAATGCATGTAGCCCCTGACACATGATGTGATCATAGTCAAATGAGTCTGTAGTCACTTCAGTGGAGATAGAGCCGACGAATGTCTTATCTGTCATCTGTCCCTTTCTGGCTCTTCCTGACTTAGATTCTGAGAGTTAGAAAAAACTCAGTATCTCCAATAAAATTTTCAGCTCAAGTGCAAGAATTATATCTCCTGAAGATGCTTACTTAAATATCTCCTCTCGTGTGAGCTTTGGAGGGTGGAGGTGGCATCTCTGGAATAGTCATTCATAAAAGGTTCATTGAGCCCCAGGTTGAGCACAGCTTTGTGGAGGTGTAAGCATGAGAAGCTCGTTGCTCCACTCTCAACTAGCTTTCCGAGGAACAGCTGAGAGAGTAAGTATCCTGAGTAACTTGAGGTAGCAAGTTGTAATGGGGCTCCACAGAGTTAGAGCAGCGACTTGCCCGGAGGTTATGATGGAGGACTCTCTGGATCTTCTGATCTGACCGGATAGGACTGAGATGGTGGCTTCGGGAATCATTGGTGAAAGAAACAGCTTTTAAGTCAAAAAGTTCTTCATTTTCTTTATTTTGTGGAGGTGTATACCCTCCGAGGTGGCACAGTGGTAAAGAATCTGCCTGCCAATGTAAGAGATGGGAGAGATGTGGGTTCTCTCCCCGGGTTGGGATGATCCCCTGGAGTAGGAAGTGACAACCCACTCTAGTATTCTTGCCTGGAAAATTATACAAACAGAGAAGCATGGCGGACTACAATACATGGGGTTGCAAAGAGTCGGACATGACTGAGCACATGGGATGAATAAATTCTTCATTTGTCATGGTAGATTGGGAGTTGAGAGCTTGGGCTCAGTTAGATCTCTGTTTGAAATAGCGTTCTGCTTTTGCTGTTAGCTATTGGAGCTCCTGAGCCTCAGTTTTTTTCATCTGTAAAGTGAGGCCATTACTACAACTTCAGAGGGTCATGTGAGAATTAAATGAAATAGTGCTTGAAAGTGCACTCAACAGAGCCTGGTGTGTAGGAAGAGTAAACACGAGCTGGTTTTATTTTTTGTAACTTCTGTTCACTGGTATAGTTCCGTTGTCTGGCATTCAAAATCTGTTTCTGCTTCTATACGGGAATTTTTCAAATATTTAATTGTACCTTCTCTGTTTTCTTTTCAGTTTAAAGGTTTCCTTTTAGGTGATGGCTTCCAAATATTTGTGTGTTATACGTATAATGCAGTGGTTCTTAGGCAGGAGCAGTTTTGCTCCCCAGGGATATTTGGCAGTGTTTGGAGACGTTTTTGGTTGTCGAAACTGAGAGGCTGCTCCTGGCACTTGGTGGGTGGAGCCCAGGGATGCTCCTAAACATCCTACAGTGCACTGGACAGCTCCCCACACAAAGAACTATTCTGTGCAAAATATCGGTGCTGATGTTGGAAAACTCTGCTCTTCCAGACTTAATTGGGCTTTCCAGGTGGCTCAGTGGTAAACAGTCCACCTGCCAATGCAGGAGATGTGGGTTCAATCCCTGGGTAAGGAAGATCTGGAGAAGGGAATGGCAACCCACTGTAATGTTCTTGCCTGGGAAATTCCATGGACAGAGAAGCTTGGTGGGCTACAGTTCGTGGGGTCCCAGAAGAATCGGACACACTTAGTGACTAAACAACAGCAAGAACTGAATTTAGTTGTTAAGCTTTTTCTTTTCTTCATATTTGTAATGACTGGGAATAGCAGCACGAGGTACCAAGATAATGGCAAGAAGATTCAGAAGGGGATGAGACACAGATCAAATTGTGATTTCAGCTAGATTTGTTAATCTCTTAAATAGATTATTTGTCTCCTCTGAACGAGGAATTGTAAACAATGAGAAGAATTTGAATTCCAAAGAAAGAAGATCCTGTAATAGTTTTTATTAATTATGCAGCCACAATGTGTAAAATTTACTTCACTTTTGAGGAACATGAACAATTATATTGCCTCATTAGAGTCTTTCCATCAGTGAGGAGGAAATAAATATTCTTCTGTTGCTGTTTTACTAAAGGTAGAAAAGGCAAGACATGGTTAAGTAAGATAGCTGGTGAAGTTAGATATCCAGTCAGGAACAGAGCAAGAGGCAGACGGCAGCCACTCCAGTCGGCAAGGCCTATTCCCCCAGCTGACTGCTTGGTGGACTTGAGTGTTCCTCAGATTATAAAGCAGCTGCCCAACGTGCTTCTGTTTCTGGATTTCACGAGGGCTGTATCCTGCAGGGTTCCGTTGAATTAACATTTTCTGGGTAAAGGTGAGCTCCACATGGAAAGAATTCACAAGAATGATGATTTTTTAAAAGTGGGAATACAGAAATGATGGATATGGGTAAGAACCCTGATTTAGCACTTAGGACATGGGATTGCTGCTACCCATGTCCCTGAGTAGGTCACATGTTTAAGCTTTGCTGTGAAACTGGAGAGAGGAGATATTTGGTCCTCGGGGAGTACTGCACGTGGCTTAACCAGATGAGTTTCTGAAAAAGGAGGGGTAAGTGAAATTTTAATGAAAAGAATCCTTTAAAATGTGCTGAGGAAACATGCCACATGGAGGTCCTTAAAGGTAAAATGTCTTTTGGCAAACTGATACATTGTTTTGGGGATAAATGTGGGTGTTCATGAATTGGATTTTGTAAAAGGAGGATTGTAAGGGCAAATTATTTTTCTTCTCTGCTCTCAATACTTCTGACACCAGATGTGTGGGGTTTCCTTTCCACACCAGGCAGTTCTCCAATTCCCAGTGGACATTCACTGGGTGTGCGACAAATTTAACTCAGTTGTGAACTACCTCGGTGGTGATAGCATTAAATCCCACAGGTTAAGGACTTAATCTCAAATCCCAGTCACAAGCCCAGACCATTTATACTTCCTAGCAACCAGTTATAATTTGGGGGTTCCCAAACCCCCTCCTGAGGTCTAGTAATTTGCTTAAATTATGTCTCATGAAGCTCAGGGAAATATTTATTTGCATTTACCAGTTCATAATAAAGGATATAAAAGATAAAGATGAGTAGTCAGATGAAGAGATACATAGGGTAGGTCCAGAAGAGTCCTGAAGTAGGGGCTTCCATCCCTGTGGAACGGTGAGGGTTTGTTATTCTCCCAGAATGTGGATTCTTTTGTTTTGTTTTAAACTAACCTGAAGTTCTCTCCTTGTTCAAGAATTTTTACCAGGACTTGATCTCCAGGCCCACCTCCACACCACACCACCCCCGTAGAAGTCAGTAGGATTGAAAGTTCTAACTGGCTAATCTTTTGATTTTTCTGGTGACCAGCTCCATCCTGAGGTTG